AAAATTCTCTCATCACCTATATCTGAAAATGCCTTAAAGTTCACTTAACTTCCTCTCACTGATTGGTTCAAGTGTTGTGTTATCAGTATCTGTTTTTTCGACTTGTAAAAATGTAAATCGGGATATGCCAGTTTGATATGATGCTATTTGAACTTGGTTCTATCATTATTGCCAACTAATTTTAACTGCCTAACTTTCGATGATAGGAATTTTTTGATTTGATGAATTTATGTCAAAAGTTGCTATGGTAACACTCTCTGTTGTAGTGCCCTGCTGACGCACAACATTTATTAAAGAGGTTTACAGTACATTCTTTATAACTTAGAAGCAAATGTCTTACAGTAAACGTCCCCTTATGTACATACATTCATCATCCCCATCAACAAACTTGGAGTTAACTAAAAGACAGACTGCAGAGGTACATTCTGGTGCAAGCGAGTGTTTTTTTTGTTTACAAATAACAGTATACTTTGTTATTGGCAATGAAATGCCTATACCCTACTCAGTGTACAATGTGTAGGAATTTAATTACAATGATCCTGCATATACACAGTACACGTGCTTCTGTTAGTGATACATTTTGATTTTCCTGAATTTAATTTAGCTACTATGTTATTTTTGCTAATTTAAGATGACAGTTATGTTTTGAAGTAACTAAAAAGACAACGGGTTTAACCATTCAGTTACAATCTAACTACTTAGAACATCATGGACAGTGATTGGTATTGTTCATGGCAACAAATTGATTGATAGTTTAAATCTGAGATTTGTTTGTATTAATTAGAATAAATATTTCCACTCATCAGAGGTGAAACTACATAGATCATAGCTCTGAACCATGTCAATGCACAGCTTGAAGTTAATGAATGGAATTTGATCCTTTTAGCAGTGGAATTACAGCTGTAATAAATAACCTTGGATGTCTATGACTTTCAATACTTGGGGTGGATGCACAGTTGTCGATTGTCAGCACTCTATCATCATATTAGTCTTTGTCACATCACTCTGTGACTCTTCACACATCACAGAAAGCCGATATATCTGCAGTTGTAATATTTAATCAGCTTAATTGAACTTTACTTGGTATTTGAACAGTTCGTGATTTTTTGGGGCAATTTGTAATTACCTGTCAGATGCAACATAGTGTAGAAAGACTCAACTCGCCAACTGTGGCCTTTATTATGCTATGTATGTGAGCAAAGTATGACAGAATGACCTTAGAGTGATCATATGAATGTTTTAATGTAATATGTGTGCAGCTGCAGTTTAATGTCGCATCATCTTGCAGTAATGCATGGCTCTGCACTTGACCCCATCTGAATTGCCTGTTCATTGGTGTTAAAATAAAGTCAACATCAGATTTAATTGCCCTGGGCCAAAAATGCTTCTCTGCATTCCCAAACACCAACAACATCAAAGTGTGTGGTTACATCCTAATAAAAGTGAAACACACATGGTAGCAATTTGAACATCAACTAGTAAGCTCGGAGATCATTAAATTATCTTTAAATGGTGTTTGACCAAGTAGTTGAATATTGGTTTTGTTTGTATCAGAGATAGTGGATGTTTTTGTCAAATTAAATGGCATTCATTCATAATTATATTGAAGAACTGCACAGAAATATTATAGCAATTATTACGATCTCTCATAAAGTTTCTGAACTTGACACAGAATCATGATTTGTTATCAAAACAAACTGATGTTTGTTATAATGCATCTTGACAAAGGAAGATGTCACTGTTAGTTGAGAGTAATGGGTAAGTATCTATGAAGTCAACGCTTGCATTCTACATGAAAAAACAAATTCCTGTAATACATTGTAAATCCTTTGAACTTTTGTTATAAAGTTTTCCATATATTACTGAAAAATTTCATCAAGAACTGTAGGAAATCAATTCCATCCAATATTAATAAAAAAATAGTTGATGAGGTCATTCACATTTGCTAAATGTTGCACTAACAATTTGTCTGGAGAATGATGATATTCAAATTATTAAGGTCTATCTGTATACAGCTTATCTTTTATGATCACCAGAATTACCTAAACACAATTTTCACAGTCCTGTCCAGAAGGTATTTCTCCCTTCCAATTACAGTACATTAGATGTACATACTTTATAGGCCAGTGAATCAACCTGACTGATATTTTGAATGACAAACTATAAACAATGTGTCATTACCTGTCAGATTCAACATAGTTTGGAAAGTCTCAACTCGCAAACTGTGGCTTTTATTATACTTTGCCCACATTCATAGCATGACAAGGTACAGAGAGATTTATTATAGTTGTTATAATTTGTATTTTGAAATTTGTTGATGTACTGTGGAATATTTTATTTTCGCTGGAATTAATTTTCGCTGAAAAGGCTTTTTGGGCCTTTTGCTTGGAATTTATTTTCACTGATTTTTGATGAGATTAATGTGAAGTGTAGGAAAAAAAGTATATTCGCTGGATTTTATTTTCACGGAATCATCCCTTCAGCGAAAATAGCGAAAATAAATTCCAAGCGAAAATAAAGTATTCTACAGTATTTTCATGATGAATTATAATTTTCAGTGAGATCTATATCAATTTATTATTACTGTGATCACATCACATCACAAATAATATTTATATTTTCCTTGTTTTTATAATCTTTCGATAAAATTAAGGAGGATCATCACATATTCTGGCATTCACCTAAGAAATCTTGAAATTTAGCTGACACATCAACTGATCAGTTTATTATTAAACAAATCTGTATTGAAATATTCATATGCAACTGTAATATTGATATAGAAACCAGTGTGCAGGCACTGTATTTAATCCATGAATTGGTGTATAAATCTAGATAAGTGTAATCAAGTGCTAGATTGATATACCGGTATATACAGATAAGAAAAATTGGTTCATGCAACATTCCAAAACCGGTCAACAAACTGTATTTGGTAACGATTAGGACCAATCTGCCTGAAAAATATTGAAAGTGAACTAATAACACAGAGGCTAAGCTGTTCAAATTCACTAAGTTCCACAGTTCCCTCCCAAGAAAAGATGGTCAATTAGTGCAGTAGTCACTGCTGATACAAGCATCTTGAAAACAGTATTACATTGAAAGCAATCACCTGGAAAATACAAAACTGCAATAAAGCTAAACAATTGTTTACTTCAGTGTTAAGCATCAGTAATTATTAGTACAAGATAAATGGGCAGTAGTTGTGATAGGTCTGATAGAACAGCAAAAGCTATAAACTACCTGGAGTAGGTTTGTTATTATGCCATAGAAGCTGCACATGTACACCTCGCAGAAACAGCGAAAGCTAAGACTGAGTGAAAAGTTAGCTGAGGCGATGGATGCTGCCTTACTAACAAGACAGGGTAGATTGGATCAGATCATAAATACAAGTCTGGTAGGCTAATAAATATAAGATGAATCAAATGCAGACTATAATAAACACACAAAGAAAAACAAATATTGGGGGATGAAGATATGTAAAATATTTCCTGGAGATAGAGTACTTCATTGCTGTCCGACGGAATAAGTTGACTTCTCATAACAAGAAATGTGGATATTTTATGAAAAATGTTACCCAATCCACTTCACAATATGTAGATTAATTGCAATTTGTAATGTACAAACCAGGTATGTAAGATGTTAATTTCAGTGCAAACTCCAATAAAAGTTTATAAATACAAAAAAAAAAATATTGGGGGATGATTAAAATGTGTACAAATGTGTTGAAAGTTATTCTGTGAATAAACATACATTGTAGGAGATAATACATACTTTTGAAAAGAAAGTTACTACGGGTATTTATCATATATTATTCATTACTGTTTTAACTATGTAGTGTGGTCTACTTGTCAGTTGTTGTGTTTTGTTCTTGTAGATTGTTTTGTCAATTATTGTCAGATATTTGTTTTGTATTCTTGGACTTCTTGTAATTTTTCTTATTTGACTTACCGGGGGTAGTTATTATTTTGAATATAATGTATTTTAGATGTACATTAATATGTTTCATTTTAAATTTATCAGACTTAAATGTGAAACCAATTAAAAGTACAAAAACTTAAAATGGCCTGCAGCTCATTAATCTAATTGTAGTCTGGCATTGTAAGTGTTCAATGATTTGAAAACATTCTTTACCACAAGTGTGGATAGTATCAACGGATGATTGCTCAGTCAAAAGCTAACCTTCTCTCCAGTCTTCTCAATAGCCTTCAGCTAACCTTCTCTCTAGCCTTCATCTAACCTTCTTATTAGTCTTCTCTCTAGCCTTCATCTAACCTTATTAGTTTTCTTAATAGCCTTCAGCTAATATTCTTATTTGTCTTCTCTCTAGCCTTCATCTAACCTTCTTATTAGTCTTCTCTCTAGCCTTCATCTAACCTTCTTATTAGTCTTCTCTCTAGCCTTCATCTAACCTTCTTATCAGTCTTCTTTCTAGTCTTCAGCTAACCTACTTATTAGTCTTCTTTCTTGTCTTCATCTAACCTTCTTATTAGTCTTCTTACTAGCCTTCAGCTAACCTTCTTATTAGTCTTCGTACTAGCCTTCAGGTAACCTTCTCTTTAGTCTTCGTAATAGCCTTCAGCTAACCTTTGCATCTCTTTAGACTTCAGCAAGCCTTCTCATTCCCTTTTTGACACTTTCAGACAATTTAAATATTTTGCATATATGAAGACTTTCTGAAGGCTTGTACTGTATGTCTTCTATAAACAGTGAATGTCTTCCAGTTTGATAAGGGGTGTCTTCCATCAGAATGGCATATTACAAGTAATCAATTATTTATCCTCTGAACTTTAAAATAAACTGGAAAGCTCTTACAATTTTGTCTGTACTTTAAAAAAATATATGAAGGCGTGTGGCCATTTAGAAATTATATCTAAAATGTTAGCAATAACAGACAAAATGGTAATTGCTGAGTTTTATGCATAAAAAATAATCTATAATATTATGTGCATAATTAATCGGGCATACATGTATTTATTGGTATCAATTGTCTGATTGATTCCCAGGTTTGTTTTGCACATGTCTGCTGTTTACCCAGAAGATGCTGGTTTATATACAGCTAAAGCAGTGAATGCAGTTGGATATGTAGCATGTAGTGCTGAATTGCATGTTGAAGAGGGTGAGTATATCATATCATCATACTGCCGGTACTACTTTTATAGCCTCTGTTTGTTTTTCAGTCAGATACATTATTTCACATTGCTTGGACTTGTGTATTTCAAACTTCAAACGGAAATATTTGTTTAAATATTTTTTGTCCCAGCCAACAGTTCACAACATTGGAAAAACACTATTTGTTTTCTGACTTTTGTCTGATACAATGACAACTGTTCTTCCAGCAATTTGTTCATACAGATACAGATACAAATACACACTGGTCAATTTCCTGTTCCATATTTAACCCTTAGTTTTCTTACTATGTAGCTTCATGGGGGAAAGGTCTGGTCATACAGTAATCCTTTACTCTATATGATAAGGGTAATGAGCTCACTAAGCGCAGGATCAGATCACATGGCCATTAGTGTTAAATCCTGCAGACTGCATGGGCATCATTCTATACACAGAAATGCTGGAAGCCTAGCAAATGGGTAAAATGTTCACTATTGATCGGCCTAATGATCAGAGTGATTGAAACCTGACAGACTCTCTTGTATCTTATACCAACCCTCGAACCTGTCTGCCCTATTAAGGTCAACTCGCGTATTATTATGCATTCAGCACACAAACATCTAACCCCGAAAATTAAGTGTGAGGCACTGACATTTGCTTAGCAAATGAGTAAAACCTAGAATTGTGGAATAAAGTGTTTTTCATGATAAAAATACTAAAACAGAAAGTGTTTATCTTTGGTCAATAAATAGAAGAAAAAAATGGTTACATAAATATCATATACTTTTATTATACTCAATCAGTAATACCATATCCATGAAAAATTTACAAGATTCGGTTAAGAATATCTGTGCTTGATTGATATTATAAATGCTTAATTACCCACGATATTTATTTCTAAACTGTAATTCTTCAAACAAAATTGATTCGTATAAAAAATACTGGTATGGTGTATCTTTTCTTGAAATGCAAAGTAAATTATAGAAATACTTCAGAATCCGATTTCAGTTGTGACATTTATTCTTCTGTATATGGTGTTTTTCATGATAAAAATACTAAAACAGAAAGTGTTTATCTTTGGTCAATAAATAGAAAAAGAAAACAGTTACATAAATATCATATACTTTTATTATACTCAATCAGTAATACCATATCCATGAAAAATTTACAAGATTCGGTTAAGAATATCTGTGCTTGATTGATATTACAAATGCTTAATTAACCACGATATTTATTTCTAAACTGTAATTCTTCAAACAAAATTGATTCGTATAAAAAATACTGGTATGGTGTATCTTTTCTTGAAATGCAAAGTAAATTATAGAAATACTTCAGAATCCGATTTCAGTTGTGACATTTATTCTTCTGTATACCATATCAAAATATTCAAAATATGAGGTTATTACAAGAATACCATGAAATGTACACAAAATACAGTTATTAAGGTTGAAGTGACCATGTTCCCAATAAAAATGTTATTATTATTAATTAATGTTTCTGATCCAACCTTTTGTTATGTTTTAGTGAAAGATGTTGATAATTAAATAATATATGCACAGATTCTAGAGGGTGTATTCTCTTTATAAATGACCATTGCAATATTACATCATTTGTTAATTTTCTGCCAACCAGCATGCAAATTTCTGATAACAATTGAGAACAAAAAATTCATCATTTCTCATATGTGTACATGCTCTAATAGAAGCCATATCCCCTCTGTTGTACTGTACCATTTTATTAGAAGCAGTGATTTCTAATACAGATTTTACGATAGTACTCAGTATGTGGAGATAGGTAATGCCTACTATCTTGGAAAACTGTCTATAGTACCCAGTATGTGGAGATAGGTAATGCCCACTCATCTTGGAAATACTACCTGGGTCAACATCTTGTTGTATAAATCACAGCAGTGCCGACCTGATAACCATTGTTCTGGCTTGAAATTTGTTGACTTTTATATACAGTATTTGCTCTATTTGAAGTGCAACAAGATTATTGTAATATTTCTTATTTTGACCACAGACACACCCCTTGTTATTTATGTAAGTGTATACGCTACTAATAATGCAAAAATGGTATTAGGAAAGAATCTGAAAAGCACAGCATCATGAGCTCACCATGTCTATAAACAACACATTCCTGTGAATCTGCATCATAATTGTAATCCCAGAGATCAATATAACACTTACGTATGTTGGCTCCATGTACATGCTGTTCAATTCACTTATCGGATGATTGAAAATCATTGAGGCAATCTTGAATTGTATTGCATTTGTTCATACTGCTTAAAGGGCTGAAGGGAGGCAGTCGTCGCGCCGCGTTCTGTTCAATATGGGACTCATAGCGACGTATACATCGCGTGTCAAATACATTGTTTATTTACATGAAATTTGAACACGCTCTACGCGATGACCACCGCCTTTTAATTGTAACTATAAAAAGTATTGTATGTCCATGTAATGATTGTTGAATTAAAGTCTAATATTAAATGCCATAATTGTTACATAGGGACATAACTTACAGAAAACATAATGATGTATATGGGAAAGTACCACATGCTATGCAGCTAATCGAGTTTCCCTTCACTATCTATTTATATTCTTGTACATTATTATGTTTTATTTTATTATTTCCTTTATTAAGTTTGGACCATATAGGCATAAAAATACCATTGAGTACAGGTTTTGGTAAGAATTGGTATGGAAAAAATGATGTGGGTTAATTTGTGCAAAGTAACAAAAGGTGCATTCAAAGGATTTAGTACTAGCCTATTTATAAATGCACGCTGACATTTGAATACTTAAATAGGTTGTCCCCATCAACTGGACTTTATATGTATTGGGTTCAGTTCCATCCATCCAGCATCATTTCTCAACCGATTTTGTTCAAAGTTTGTAGAAAGACAAGTCTGACTCAAATGCACATTGATTTGTTTTTCGGATTGCACTGCATTCACAACCAGTCTTAAATGTGGGTTATTTTTTTAAAAACGTAATGAATATCTTAGGTCAAACCTTGCAGTCAATCATCAATATAATTATGCATACCAACATAATATATTATTAAAACTAAATATATCAGAAAGGTTAAATATTCTGGTATATAATATTGTTAACAGTTATACTACTGGAAATAGACAGGAATTTCTACAACTAGTGTATCTTACTCAATTAATTTTGTTACTATCACTTGTATTCAGATTTAAATAAATGAGTCGTATAGTAGGAAAGGTCCTACATATATAAGGGATGAGTAAAAGAGTCAGCTACTGTTCAATGCAAGTCAGCATCTTTGTTATCAATACTAATTATTCTTTGAGCACCAATTACAAGCAGGCAAAACAATTTATATTTTAATGTTCAAAATTTGTTGATCGGAATTTATGTTAAATTGGTCAAAATTTAACAAAAAATCATTTGTGGAAAAGGTCATAAAATGTAAAATGTTGCAGCAACAAAAATTGTTACATTTAAACATAAAGATACAGTGAAAAAAATATGTTTAAACTGAATTTTGGATACATATTCTGGAAATTCTGCCATTCAGATTAAGATCTGTTTCAAGAGAATGCGTTTACTAGGTAAAGATTCCTTATCTGATCTGGTGAGCACAATTTGTTGGCTTCCCTGTAGTGACCAGCCTCAGATTAGAGGAGGGTATTGGCCTGCATTGACCAGCCTCAGGTTGGAGGAGGGTATTGGCCTGCATTGACCAGCATCAGATTAGAGGAGGGTATTGGCCTGCATTGACCAGCCTCAGGTTGGAGAAGGGTATTGGCCTGCATTGACCAGCCTCAGGTTGGAAGAGGATATTGGCCTGCATTGACCAGCCTCAGGTTGGAGGAAGATATTGGCCTGCATTGACCAGCCTCAGGTTGGAGGAGGGTATTGTCCTGCAGTTACCAGCCTCAGGCTGGAGGAGGGTATTGGCCTGCATTGACCAGCCTCAGGTTGGAGGAGGGTAGTGGACTGCATTGACCAGCCTCAGGTTGGAGGAGGGTATTGGCCTGCAGTTACCAGCCTCAGGCTGGAGGAGGGTATTGGCCTGCATTGACCAGCCTCAGGTTGGAGGAGGGTAGTGGACTGCCTTGACCAGCCTCAGATTAGAAGAGGGTATTTGCCCTCAGTTATCAGCCTCAGGTTGGAGGAGGGTAGTGGCTGCCTTGACCAGCCTCAGGTTGGAGGAGTGTATTGGCCTGCAGTGACCAACCTCAGGTTGGAAGAGGGCAGTGGACAGCCTTGACCAGCCTCAGGTTGGAGGAGGGTAGTGGACTGCCTTGACCAGCCTCAGGTTGGAGGAGGGTATTGGCCTGCATTGACCAGCCTCAGGTTGGAGGAGGGTATTGGCCTGCAGTCACCAGCCTCAGGTTGTAGGAGGGTATTGGCCTGCATTGACCAGCCTCAGATTAGAAGAGGGTATTTGCCCGCAGTTACCAGCCTCAGGTTGGAGGAGGGTATTGGCCTGCAGTTACCAGCCTCAGGTTGGAGGAGGGTATTGGCCTGCAGTCACCAGCCTCAGGTTGTAGGAGGGTATTGGCCTGCATTGACCAGCCTCAGATTAGAAGAGGGTATTTGCCCGCAGTTACCAGCCTCAGGTTGGAGGAGGGTATTGGCCTGCAGTTACCAGCCTCAGGTTGGAGGAGGGTTTTGGCCTGCAGTTACCAGCCTCAGGTTGTAGGAGGGTATTGGCCTGCAGTCACCAGCCTCAGGTTGGAGGAGGGTATTGGCCTGCAGTTACCAGCCTCAGGCTGGAGGAGGGTATTGGCCTGCATTGACCAGCCTTAGGTTGGAGGAGGGTATTGGCCTGCATTGACCAGCCTCAGGTTGGAGGAGGGTATTGGCCTGCAGTTACCAGCCTTAGGTTGGAGGAGGATATTGGCCTGCATTGACCAGCCTCAGGTTGGAGGAGGGTAGTGGACTGCCTTGACCAGCCTCAGGTTGTAGGAGGGTATTGGCCTGCATTGACCAGCCTCAGGTTGGAGGAGGGTATTGGCCTGCAGTTACCAGCCTCAGGCTGGAGGAGGGTATTGGCCTGCATTGACCAGCCTCAGGTTGGAGGAGGGTAGTGGACTGCCTTGACCAGCCTCAGGTTGGAGGAGGGTATTGGCCTGCATTGACCAGCCTCAGGTTGGAGGAGGGTATTGGCCTGCAGTTACCAGCCTCAGGTTGGAGGAGGGTATTGGCCTGCATTGACCAGCCTCAGGTTGGAGGAGGGTATTGGCCTGCAGTCACCAGCCTCAGGTTGTAGGAGGGTATTGGCCTGCATTGACCAGCCTCAGGTTGGAGGAGGGTAGTGGACTGCCTTGACCAGCCTCAGGTTGGAGGAGGGTATTGGCCTGCATTGACCAGCCTCAGATTAGAAGAGGGTATTTGCCCGCAGTTACCAGCCTCAGGTTGGAGGAGGGTATTGGCCTGCAGTTACCAGCCTTAGGTTGGAGGAGGGTATTGGCCTGCATTGACCAGCCTCAGATTAGAAGAGGGTATTTGCCCGCAGTTACCAGCCTCAGGTTGGAGGAGGGTATTGGCCTGCAGTCACCAGCCTCAGGTTGGAGGAGGGTATTGTCCTGCAGTTACCAGCCTCAGGCTGGAGGAGGGTATTGGCCTGCATTGACCAGCCTCAGGTTGGAGGAGGGTATTGGCCTGCAGTCACCAGCCTCAGATTAGAAGAGGGTATTTGCCCGCAGTTACCAGCCTCAGGTTGGAGGAGGGTATTGGCCTGCAGTTACCAGCCTTAGGTTGGAGGAGGGTATTGGCCTGCATTGACCAGCCTCAGATTAGAAGAGGGTATTTGCCCGCAGTTACCAGCCTCAGGTTGGAGGAGGGTATTGGCCTGCAGTCACCAGCCTCAGGTTGGAGGAGGGTATTGGCCTGCAGTTACCAGCCTCAGGTTGGAGGAGGGTATTGGCCTGCAGTTACCAGCCTCAGGTTGGAGGAGGGTGTTGGAGGAGGGTATTTGCCTGCAGTGACTAGCATAGCCAGATGCACCCACCTTATGTTGATGTATAATTTCTTCTCAAAACTTGTTGACCCACTTTGTTTTTATAAATAATATGTAAATAAGCTCACAAAAACTATCAAAAGGGGTATTTTTTTTACTCAGATACATGTATTTTTTTTCATTTTGACAGTTACAACTGATGAAGAATATGGTACACCAGTGGCTAAATCTGCATTTCACTCACAAGAATCCACAGAATCTGAAACAGAAACATTAAGAGTTCAGATTGCTGATGATTCTGATGCTACCGACACTGAAGATGTACCACCAGAATTTACTAAGAAAATGAAAGACTTTGAGGTTACAGAAGGAGAACAGGTTCACTTTGATTGTAAAGTTACAGGGACACCAATGCCAGACATTACATGGTAAGCCCTAATTATTGTACCTCATTCTGAAAGATGATTGGTTAGAATGCTGTCATGTGACGTTCAAAAACTGAATATCGAGCCAATATTGACTTGTGCATCTAGCAGTAATAGGTATGGGAGGTTGATTGATTCAAGTCTATCAAATTTGGGTTGTTTATTTGGCATATTAGCATATTAAGTGTAGTCATGGTTTTAAAATATTTGGTAAATCATAAATATTAAAAAATAGATGTTACTACATTATTTAGAGGTTATAAACGGCAAGCGAGTGTATTTGGTTGTAGACCTCTCTCTGGAGAAAATTAACATATTTTGTGGAAGATAATAACCGAGCATACAATTTTTCAGTTTATTTCAATAAACGAGCGATAATACTGATTATACACTATTTCCGCACATAATGAAACAAAAAAACAGTTGTGGTTCTTTGCATTTATCTTGATTTCTGAAATAGATGGCATGCCTATGGAATGGCAATGGCAGAAGCACCAAAATTCAGCGAATCAAATGGCTTGTTTCAGACTAACCATGCTATAATGTAAATTATCTTTCTGTAAAATTGGTATTAGAAATTTATATAGCAGAAATAAGATTTATTCTAGTATGGAAATATACTTCAGAATTGTTGAAGTATAACATTGAATAGTACTCCATCTTTTACCTAAGTTCTAATAGGTAAAATATATTTATAGCAGTCTGTACTATTGTTACTCTGCCAATATGAGGGTTATGTGACATTACTATCCAATATGGCTGCTGTATCTAGGCAAAAATATAATTCAGAATTGATGCAATATTGAATTGTTAGGCCTTCAATAATGGTCTTATCATCCTTTAAATTAATTCTAATATATTAAATACAGTTATAGCAGTCTGTACTATAGGCAGTACCTCCAACATTAGGGTCATGTGACATTACTATCCAATATGGCTGCTGTATCTAGGCAACACCATTAAATGTGATAAGTGTGCATGATGTCTAACAGTACACCAGCTGTATTCCTGTGCACATATTTACAATAAACAGGTCTTTATGAGGTCACAGTATATACCATGAATACATTGGAGTTTCCAGACAAAATACCTACTGTTAGCTGATGACATTTCACACATAGTCAGAATATCTATAATAATCACAGCATGTCAGTCCTGTTTGCCTATCTATTTCATAATTTACTCACTTTATAGCCTCCTTTTCACCATTTGTTGGTACAGCATGAACTTTACATAGAGATATGTTTTTAATATTTATCATCTATTTTGTTCAAAATGAAAATTACATACCCAAGCATAGACCATTAATAAAAAGTAACATAAGGAAATTACAAGTTTATGAACAAAAAACAACTACTGCCAAAGCACATACAGAAAAAATGTGGTTTAATATGACGAAACATTGTTAAACAGTTAAAAAATAATACATAGGTTTTCAACCAATAGGTCATGTGACTTCTTATAGTAATAGTGAATAAAACATTGCAGTTAAAGGGCCTCACATTAGAGGCTCACTATATCATCTTTTGAGTTCAAAACATGTTTGTTTTCACAAGCACACAGAAGTTTATTCTACTCTAAGGAATAAACTTCTGTGACATTAAAGAATCAGAATCAAAATACCATTAAATATCTACTGAAAATAAAATAAAATAATGGATATATGACATCATCAGCAATAATTATTATTATAGTTATATCAAACATTTATTCATACAACTATTTTAAAATATTTTAGCTTATTCTTAGTGTTTCACACTGTTTATGACTCCTGAATTTATTCTCCAAAGTGTTTTAGTGCATTCAAAACTTCCTAACTTATTCGTCAAAGTGCTTAACAGCATTCGAACTTCCTAACTTATTCCTCAAAATGTTTATAGCATTCAAAACTTCTTAACTTATTCTTTAAAGTGCTTAACAGTGTTCAAGCCTCCCTAACTTATTCTTCAAAGTTCATAACAGTGTTCAAGTCTCCCTAACTTATTCTTCAAAGTTTTTAACAGTATTCAAGTCTCCCTAACTTATTCTTCAAAGTTCTTAAGTGTTCAAGTTTCCCTAACTTATTCTTCAAAGTCCTTAACAGTGTTCAAGCCTTCCTAACTTATTCTTCAAAGTGATTTACAGTGTTCAAGCCTCCCTAACTTATTCTTTAAAGTGTTTTACAGTGTTTAGGACTTCCTAGTTTAACTTCTTTAGAAACATGGTCAAAATCTAATTATCATAGTGTTCTTGTACACCTAGGAAATTTTCTTTGGATGGAGTTAACTATATGCATGCTTTGGGTACATCTTGTACATCACAATTATGTAAGCTATTGCTTTGATTGGCTAACCCAAAACTTAGACATGTATTTTACAATGTGTTATTATTTGTAGGCGTAAGGATGGTAATACTTTGGCAACTTATGGTGGACATCATAAATTCTACACAGACGATAATGGACTATGTTCGATGATAATACAGCAAGCGACAATTCATGATAGAGGCGAATATACTTGTGCCGCTGCAAACTTTGTTGGTAAAGTTTCTTGCAAAGCATATCTTTCTGTTAAAGGTGAGCATTAGATGGTGAAGTATTTTTTTGGTGATCTTTTACTATAATTGGCCATTTAATCATTTGTAAAAAAAATTACAGGCTCCCAATTGTGGTAGTTGTCACATCCCAGTTTTAATAAGTGTACAGTGCATGTCAGGGACATTTTGTTTGGTTGGAATGTTTGTGATTCAGATCGTGAGGTGAGGTGAGAATGTCATGATAATGATTGTGTTCAACTGATTGCTGCAATGAGTCTGTTCATACTAGACTTGTTTGTTGCACAGTTGTCTTTAAAGGCTGCCCTCTCTGGTAGAAATATGTATTAGCAATTCCATGGTGTCATGAATATCTAAGCACATATAGGTTTCGCACTACCATTAGAAAGTGTTCCATGCTTTAGGTCAATGAACCAATTACTTTGAAACAAGAAGTCAGTGCTGTAAATTATCCACATGTACCATATTTACTCTTTTTAGAAATACATATGCTCATGTAAATGAGATAAGGTCATAATACGTCATATTTAATAATAAATGGAATATGTATATGCACTTCTAATAAAGCAAATACAGTATTACTTTATCTTTATAAATTACGATTTCATGAAATAACGAAGGGTTGTACTTCGTTAAGTGCTATCCATTGAATAGCTTTACTTGGCAGTTGATAGGAGTACCACCCGTCTCTTAAAGTATACTTGAATTGACTGATAGTAAAATGTACTTAAAATATACTTGAAGCAGTGATAATAGTTTGATTAATATAACCATGGAGTACCAGAATAACTTGACTTTATCCTTCACACGGTTTTATAGCATTCCCCATTTACGATCATCTCATTGTATAACAGTAACAAGGTACTTAACTACTGAAAGTAGCAGTTACACTATGTGTAAAATACCGCAGTCTACTTTAATCATCTCGATTGTGCACTCCAAAAATGTTAATTGCAACATAAGCTTTCGCATATCCTATCTTTTTCTCTCACATCAGTTTTGACTCAAAACAAAATTGAATTGGATTTGCTTCAAATTTGTTCAAACTAGGGCCAAAAGTTTCATGAATCAACAGATTATTGTATCAATTGATACTAATGTTGCAAAAGTTGACAATTATTGTATCAATTTATATTAATGTTGCAATTTT